AAGAGGATTTTCTCCATATATACCCTTCTACACGCAAAGTGGTTTTTACTGAAAAGAATATATGCAATGGGTTTGCAGGATCTGGTCTTAAACCACTCAATAAAGACTGGGTTCTTGAGAAAATCACCTTTCAACTTCATACACCAACACCACCATCTCTTGCTGAAGGATCAATATCATCTGCATTTCAGACACCTCAGAATCCCCGCCAGCTTGATCACAAGATCCACAATCTGCAGAAAAGCCTTCAAAGGAAAAGGACACTTTTAGTAGTCCAGTCTCCCATATTCAACACCTTGAAAAGGTTGCACAGATGGCAATGAATACAAACCTTCTTCTCCAACAAGAAATCAAGGTTTTACGGACTGAAAATGAGTGGAAAACAAAGAAGAAGGCAATGAAACGTGCTTCTATAGGAGATAATCTCTTTATATCTGTACAGGAAGGTCATGAGCGCATTCAGCAGCTTGATACACAGGATGAAGCCCAGGTTGAAGAGCCTATATCTCAGCCTTGCAAGTGAGCTCCACAATGCTGTAGTGGCTGTGGGACTGTAGGACATACAATAAGAGGTTGTCCTAGTAAATAACTATTCATTATATTTTTTATATAGTCTAATTTAATGGCATTGGTGGTTGAAAAGCTTTAATATCCTTGTGGTTGCAGAGAAAATGGTCAGCTTGGCTGTGCATTAATATTTTATTAACCTTTTATTCTTTTCTATTAATTATTTTCCAGCACATATACTAGCCATGTACTCTTTTTTCTTATTTTTTCTAATATAGACCTAAACAATAAATGCATTATAGATGATGAGCTCTATAATATTAAAGTCATATCTTCAATAGTAGTCAGCTATAAAGAACTACTTAGATCTACAACCTCTTCACAGAATCTTCACTGAGTGGCTACAGCAAATATCTTAACAATTGAACAACACTGTCGGGAATTGGAATTACAAAACCTGGATGATAATGATGTCTTCCATTTTATAGAGCATTTTCCAGTCTAAGACTATGCATGCTCTACCCACCCCCTTGGGGGTGGGATTTGTGTCTGATGGGGTTTATATACATGAGGTTTGCTCTGTCACAGGTCACATGGGAAGCTCTCACTTTGAGATGGTCAAGAATGGGGGATACAAAACCTGGAGGCAGAGGTTAAAAGAAAAGAAGAAGAGGTTCAGTTAAAACAGCTTCAAAATGAACAATTAGAGCTAGAACTTATGAGGCAGCAGATTCAAATCCAGAAACAGCAGCAATTTGAT